TTGTTTGCTTTCCTTTCATACCTTGAAAGGACAAAGGAAGTTAAATGAGTTACGAGTGGTGTTCTAGGTAGAATTTCATACGTAGCTGTTCATAATTTATTGGCAGCATGTTAAGCACTGTGGGGAGCAACCCGGACTGGACTGAGTTACTGGAATTAAGACTTATTCTATGCATCTGCTCTCCCACAATATGGCGCTGGGAGAGGAGGCAACAGCTTCTACCCAGCTGCCTCTCACCAACTTGACAAGCTGCAGGACCTGCTCCTGATTGGAGGAGAGCAGCATACTCGGCGTGTGGGCAGCCGAGTTGGGATTGGCGGAGGAGGACTATAAAGGAGGAGAGAGACAACATGCACGAGGAACATCTATCTGAAGGAACACCTGTGCAGCCCCCGAGAGAGCCGGCCGGCGGTGTGCCGCTCCCCCGCGGAAGTGGGGAATGTGGCCAGGGGGAACCGCCCTTCCACGGAGGTGGAAGGGACGGTAGCCAACCCGGGAAGAACCAGCAGCAAACCCGGGGACGGCCGAGCAGACGAAAGAACAGCGCAGGGTCCTGTGTCGTTCCTCCACGAAGAGGGGGAGCGACATAATGGTGCCGTGACTCGGATATGAAGCCTAGGCAGGGTTTAGTGTCGTTCCTCCACGAAGAGGGGGAGCGACATAATGGTGCCGTGACTCGGATATGAAGCCTAGGCAAGGTTTAGTGTCGTTCCTCCACGAAGAGGGGGAGCGACAAAGCACCATCATTTTATTATTCCTGAGATATTTGTTGCCTGGAGCTGATAGTCAGGCACACATTTTGAGATACTTACAGAATCTGAGAAGAGATGAAAAATCTAGTATCATCATTCTGCATCTTCAGGGTTCTACATAAGGAAAATGCTACACACAGTGCTTCTCTTGTCTTTGCTTACTGTTCACGGTCCAAACTGAGCGTTTTTATTTTGTGTCCTTATCTATCCCTGGAAGGTACAAACAACACAAAGAAAAGGTTGAGAGAAGGCAGGGGTAAATATTCTAAAAAGTCTCTTTGGGCCAGTCAGCATTTACTGACCATCTTGCTGTGTGTGTAAAAATGCTTGGTTGCCACTGTTGAAGTGTTGTAAGAAGGACTTTCTTCCTGGCCGGGCGAGGGGCTGTCACATTAGATGCAGAAACCACTTTCTTGTGGTTTGCCATGGAGGAGTGTTTGGGTTCACCTCTCAAGTGGGAATTTGTCACCAGGGAGCAGTGTGCCGGATGGGTGGGTGGAGAATGAGGAAGAGAAAACAACAGACAGGTAAGAGGATTTTTGCTGGAGACAGGCTGATTATACATTCCCTGGGGGACTGTGGGGAGGCACACCAGGACTAGGGGGAGGGGCCCTTGCTAAATGGACCTGTGGGAGTTCTTGATAACAGAGCCTGCCTCCAATTGAGTCAAACAAAGAATCCTTGTCATACGAATCAATTATCTGTGGCCACAGTAATTCTGTGTTAACAGAGGCCAGTGGCATAGAGTAACAAGCATTCATTTAGCTCCCCAGAGTGTGGGTGGGTGGCTTAGGGTGGCTGGGTGTTCTGCTCTCTGCTAAGACTTTCAGCAGGATTCAAAGACTCAGTGTGGAAGGTGAACTTCAGGGAGAAGTCCCCATGTAATGCTGCGTGTTGGATCAGGATTGCCTGAGAGAGGGAATGGTAGTAGTCAGAACGGATGGTGTGTGTGGGAGCATAAACTAGGAGATTGGCTCGGGGTGGCTTGATCTTTTGCTTTTATTTTGTAAAAATCCAGAGTTGTTAAAAATGCATGGTTTAATGATGCAATAAACCAAACTAAGATTTAAAATAATTTATATGCAGCTGCAAATTTGGAAGGATCTGCTCAAAACAGAGAATCAGTTCTTGTTTCTTTCCTGCCTCACCCTTTGATTTCCTTCCTTCCTTCCTTCCTTCCTTCCTTCCTTCCTTCCTTCCTTCCTTCCTTCCTTCCTTCCATCCATCCTTCCTTCCTTTCTTTGTCTTGGCTGCTCTTTAGTCCTTTATGATGTCCGTGAGAATGTAATATCTTTTAAACTTGAAACCATTTCATTCACCTCTCATGGATAAAAGAAGAGCACGAAGCTTCAGTAGACTTGTTCCACCTTGAGTGACCAATTTAGAGGTAGGCACAGGAGTAGAACCTTGGACCCTGGGTTTTATTCTTGTTTCCCCGTTAGCTTTGGGATAAGCATGTGTTGTTTGGCTTTGCAACCAAAACACTGGTAACTGGATTGCCAGTGTCGAGCATGGGTGACAGGTTTGGTTCTCTTACGATCGGCATGAGTAACCAAGAAGATCTGGTGGCAGAGTTAAGTATTCGAGTTTCTCCTCTCTGTGTGTAGAGGAAGGAATCACAGTGTTCTTCCTGGAGGACCTGTTGCAGTGCTGAGTTAGAACTGTGTGAAGATCGCATGCGTTGCTGGAGGGCGTGTTGTTTGCTGGCTTTGTTCTGCTGCTGACAGTGACGCTGGTACTGTGGGTGACCCGCAGTTCTGCATCGCAGACTGCAGGAGGGCCTGATGGGGAATTGGTCCTGCAGCTGTGGGTGGGGCAGAGACGCCCAGGACTGAACTAGCACCGTGCTTCCTGTGCGCATTTAGGATTCTAACCTCAGACCTAGTCTTCCGCCAAAAATGGAGCCATGTCATTTTGGCTTTTTTTATTTTCCCTCATTTAGTATTGGCCAACTAGGAATAGAAATCTTGAAAAAAAAAAAAAAGATCACTTTTTCCCCCCAACCACAGCTCTCAGTATCATTCTAGGCTGTCATTACTTTGAGATGATCGTTTGAAGAGCAAATGATTGGGTTTCGTTAGCTTAATTTCTTAGGGAAATAGAATTTCTCCAAGAATTTCTCAACTGGGAAACATCCCGTAGATATAATTCACTGAAATCACCACCATAAGAAGTTTTTGTTGTTGTTGTTGTTGTTTAGTAAAACTTTGGGAATTTACCTGGTTGTAGCACTGGGAACAATAAAACCGTGGACTCTGGATTCTGTGTAAGGGGAACCGCTTCTGCTTTTCCACCTTGTCAGCACCAGGAAGGTTGAAGAACGCGGTTTCCAAAGCTGGGTGCTCGGCGCCGGGAAGCCCTGCGTCCCTGCACCGTTCCCTAACCACCTGTTCTCCGTGCCCTTTGCCTGCCTGCGGCTCCTGCTCTGACGGGCGTGGAGGACCAGGCTTTGCTCTGCCAAGGGCCCTTTGGATATTTATAACATCAGTTGCAGACCCCCGAAGTAATGAACTTGACAATTAACCCCCTGGTAGTGCCACACCAAGTTCCCTGTCCCTGTAAAGGGACAGCAAACCTGTCCATGCTCGGTCTTGGCTGAGTTGCTCAGAAAATGCGTCACAGTAAGGCAGAGCCGATAGGGGGACACTGAGCAGTGCTTTTACCGTATGGTGACCACAGGCCCTGTTGACAACGAAGCTTGCAGTCAAGGGCTGTGCTGTACCAAAAGACACGCATGCAGACACGCACAGAAGCTTTTATGCAATTTCAGGAGGCGGTGGACTCACACCTGTTTGGGGACAGCAGCTATGCGCCTGTGCTGTGGTCCAGCCCTCGCCTGCCTCCTTGCCTGGCTCTCTGTCGGGAGTTCAGGGAGAAGAAAGGGCTTTTCCAGTGCACAGTGAAAGCTGACTCTGTTACATAGGTCTTCATTCTGCGTGTGATCAAGACGTTCAGGGTCATGTCTGAGCCTGTGTTGCTTCCGCAGCTCGTAAGGAAAAGGGAAGTGAGGAAGAAGAGACTTCGCGGTCCTCTTTCCAGTGTCCTTGCTTACGGAGCCGTGGAGTCACGTGGGTGTTACTTGTAGAGTGCTTGGTGAGATACTAACCCACGCAGGTCTCACTAAAGGACTTCTCTTCTAACAGAACGTTTCCCTTCTGATAGAGAGAACTCGTTCACGTGCATGGTTTAAGAGAGGCTGGAAGGAATATTTTGAGGGAACAATGAATTATAAAGAGTAATGAAGGCTGGGCATTTAGCCTGGTAGTTAAGAGGCCTCTTGAGAAGCCCCTGGCCCGTGTTAGCGTGCCTGGGCTTGATGTCTGCCTCTGGCTGCCTGCTAGTGCAGGCCCTGGGAGGCAGTGGTTACAGCTCATCCTGCTAGTGCAGGCCCTGGGAGGCAGTGGTTACAGCTCAAGTGATGGGTTCTGGCACCCTCGTGGAAGACGTGGATTGAGTTCCTGGGGCCTGGCTTCAGCCCTGGTCCCCGGCTGGCTTCGTGTTTCAGCTGGGGCTTGCGGATCGCTCCCCTCCTTCCCTTTGTGTGTCTGTACTCAGCCAGGAGTCACGTCTTCTTTGTGGTTGTGGGAGCTGGCATTTTACGCAAGGAGGTGAGCTGGGGCAGGTGCAGGGTCCCATCTGGAAACTAGTTGTAACCTGGTGGGACCTCAGGGCTGTGGGCAGGTGAGAAATTCCTCATCTGAGCTGGCTCTGAGGCCACCGGTGATGGTCCCTGACGTCATTGCCTTGGAAAAACGCCTTCACTACTTCTCACATACACCGGGCATCGTCTTGTTCTGGGGGGAAGACGTTGCACCCCTGATGACATTAAGGAGGTAAATGTGCTCTTGGTGTAAGATCATCCCTGTGGGCGGTGTGGCCCTGCAGTCCTCAGAATGGCTGCCTTATTTCCAATTGAATGTGTTGGTGTCATTTACAGCTAACGGTGCTCAGTCCTGCACCTCCTAGGACCTCATTTATGCATCCCAGCCTTTGTGCGAAGAAGGTACTACTATGCCCTCTTAAAAGTGAGAGAAGCTGATATGCAGAGAAGCTCGCAGACTTGCCCTGTGTTCCTGGGCTGTCAGCTGCACAGCTGGACGTTGAAACCCCCGGGGTTCTGCTCTGAGGCTGTGGCTCGGCTTTGGCCTTGGCAGCCTTTGCCAAAGCCACAGTGTTCACCTTCAGAGGAGACCGTCACCTGCCAGACTCTCATACTTAAGCTTTTTTTTTTCTCCTTTCCCGTTGCAGGTATCTGACAGCAAGCAGCAATAGACATTTCCTGGTTACCATGAGGCCGTTTTTAAAAAGGGCCGTTTTGGTCATAAGTTATGTAAGTATGTGTATATTTACTTTGACTGTTTCTACTTTAGATAGAGAGGTAATTGAGATTATTTAATAGAGGCAGCTATGGGTTCTGACCTGAGTGTCACTCCAGTGTTCTAGGTAGATAGGAATCCCGTGATGCAGTGTGAACAGCAGTGTTTCCCAACCCCCTTGCGAGGTACTGATGCTGAGTTGTCCCAGGAGGAAGCGGCACAACCCTGTGTATATCCTTAGCTTTTGTTGCCTAACAAAGGTCCCTACATTTAGTGGCTTCAGAATGGAAACTGTTTACTTGCCCTAAATGCTTTCGCTTTGGTGCATTGGCTGGTGGTCCTTGAGAGCATCGTCATGTTTGGCTGGGGCGACTCAAGGTCGTGCCGCTGTTGTAGGAGTTGGGTCACCTCTGTTCCAGTTGCCATGGTGGCTCTCAGCGATATTCCTTTCTCTAGGGCCTCTCTCTGTGGCTTTCTTACAAGGAGGTTGCCTAGGATTTGCCCAGAGCATGGCAACTGGGTTCTTAAAGAACAAACCGGAAGTTGCTGGACTTCTGCATCATCAGCCCCAGAGCGGACCCAGCAGGTGCTGCCCTAGGTCCGTGGGGAGGGCCTGCTGAGTCCCTTTCTCCACAGCAGGAGCAGAATGCACTTGCAGAGGGACAGGGGTCCCTGGTGCCGCCTCACTAACTCTTCTCTTCCCTGAAGGTCACTGTCATTTTGTCCTTGCGTCTGTGGATCATGGGAGGATCCATGCCCCTGTTTTCCGAGCAGGATAACCCAGCTTCGTTTTCGCCTTATATTCTTACAAGGTCAGTGGTTTTAATGCATTGCTTGCTACTTAGTAAGATAGTTTTAAGTAATCTTGAGGTACATGTGGACTTTACATTTCGAGGAAAGAAGCATTCTATTCTATAGTGTGTGAAAGACTGTTGGGGCAGTCCTACTGAGATTGTTCTCATTGGTGTACTTTCTGTTGTTGTTGTTCTCAATGATAAGTGTCCACTGGCCCATATAGCAGATATTACAGAACAATGCAGAGAGAAGTGTAGAGTGGACGTGACAACCATTGGTTAGCCTGAAATCAGTGGGGAAGTTAAAAGTGAGAAACAGCAGTGAACTGAGGTGGAGCTGATTATGTCTTACCCAAGACGTCTGAAGTTACTGGGGGTCAAGAAGAGACCTTGGTCCGTGGGTCTCATTCTTTGCAATGGTTTTAAATTCCTTATGTTCAGGCCGGCGCCGCGGCTCACTAGGCTAATCCTTTGCCTTACGGCACCGGCACACCGGGTTCTAGTCCCGGTTGAGGCGCCGGATTCTGTCCCGGTTGCCCCTCTGCTGTGGCCAGCTCTCTGCTGTGGCCCGGGAGTGCAGTGGAGGATGGCCCATGTGCTTGGGCCCTGCACCCCATGGGAGACCAGGAGAAGTGCCTGGCTCCTGCCATCGGATCAGCCCGGTGCGCCGGCCGCAGCACGCTGGCCGCGGCGGCCATTGGAGGGTGAACCAACGGCAAAGGAAGACCTTTCTCTCTGTCTTTCTCTCTCACTGTCCACTCTGCCTGTCAAAAAAATTAAAAAAAAAAATCCTTATGTTCAGTGTGCTGTGATGTGCTGCTAAGGCTTTCAGATACACTACATGAATATTTGACAATTTTAATAACTTCTGCAGAATGTTGTTGCTTGTGGTCCTGAGCTGTCACTGTTTATATTTTGGCTTCCTCGATCGTCGTAGGGGCAGCTGACCGCTGCCGTGTTTTTGTGCCAGGCAGGAGGATCTGCTGTCACTCATTCACCATGTGGGTTTTAATGGGTACGTTTCTACTACTTTATTTACCTTTTTGGCTTTCTTGTGTTGTTTTTAGTCTTTCTTCTTTTTCTTTAGATCCTTTATTTTCCACTCAACAACAAACCTTCTAACCTGATTAACACGTTTTTATAACAGATTTTATATCACAGTTGTTTTTGCTAGTTTGAAATACACTCATTTATATTAGCTACATCTATGCTTTTGGGAATCATTGGTATAGAAGCCCTAGTGTAGGCCTGTGCCTTCCAGGCAGTCACGGCCTTTATAAATGGCTTATAACTTAAGTTTATCAAAATTTTATTTAATGTTCCTTTAATTAAGCTTGACGTCTCTAACCCAGGTTTTTGTTAATGTTGCGATCTACTGGTCCTTTTACAACGTATCACACTGACCTTCAGAGTTTCCAGGGCTCCTTGACCAGGTATTTTTAGCTGTGATAGCTCATTGCTGAATTGTTTCAGGTTCTGTAGCTCCTTAAATAGCTACTTTCTGACTTTATGAGAAAAAAAAAATCACCTTTGCCAGATCCCGCTCTTACATAATGGCCTCATTTCCTTTAGTTTTGGGTTGGTTTCTCTCCAGGTTTCTTGTGTCTTGAATTTGAGCGCTCGGTTTATCTTTGTGATTAGATGCAGTCCCTGTTCCCTGAGCTAAGGAGTCTCCCAAAGCCGGGGTGCACCGTCAGAGGAGACGGCAAGGAGGGCAGGCACCCTGCTCCCAGTTCACAGCCGGTGATGTCATTCCCATCAGAGGTCATCAGTAACCACGTGGCTGTTCCGTGACCCGTGGAGTCTAGGCTCAGGCGCCTTTGACCTCTGGCTCGCTCACTGCCCTCCTTGGTGTGTTGTCTGAGCTGCCATAGGGGTGGATTCCATTTTTCTCTTTGCCAGTAGCTAAAAGAAGTCTTTGATGGAACCTCTGACAGAATTCAGACCTCGGGCCCGTTGTTTGCCAAGTTCTGTCTTTTCGTTTTCCAGGCACATGTAGAGTTTTTCCGAGGGGTCTGGTGCACATTGCGTCCAAAACTGTCTGCATCAACCCATCCAGGTGCCTACAGAAAGTGATAAAAGGCAATAGATCAGACGACGCTGATGGCCCTCTTATCATCGGATCCTTCCTCTCCTTTTTGTTAGAAACATCTTTCTATTCTTGTGATGTGTAGCCACCTGGGGACATTTCTGCCACAGCTGCTTAGAGTGACTTTGCACGTTTTTCTAAGTCGGCCGCATTTGAATTGACTCTTTGGAGCATCTCAAACGTTGTCTGTAGTTCGTTTCTTCGTGAGCTTTTTCCCATTTGCCTGATTCTTTGATCTCTGGTAGGCTGATGGTTCTCATTGAACGCCACTGGTCTGTTGCCTACTGTGGTTGACTTCTTGTCACCTGTGGGATTTAGCTGTGCACCTGGCTCTGTGCGTGTGTCTGGATGCCTCTCAGTTGTCACACAGCCCTGTCTGTCTGCCTTATGAATGAATGACCTCCTCATTCATCTGCTGGGCTTGTCCTGATAAAAAGCACAGATCATGCAGCTTCAGCAACAGAAATCAGAACCCTCACATTGCCAAAGTGAGAAGTGCAAGAGCAGGGTGCGGTGACTTTGCTGTCTGGTGAGGTCTTGCTTCCTGGTCCGTGGGTGAACTTTCCTCCGTGTGTGCGAGGACAAGGAGTCATTGATATCCCAGCCTGTGGGGAGCAACTCGGACTGGACTGAGTTACTGGAATTAAGACTTATTCTATGCATCTGCTCTCCCACAATATGGCGCTGGGAGAGGAGAAAACAGCTTCTACGCAGCTGCCTCTTGCCAACTTGAGTGATGACCTCCAGGAGCTGATCCTGCTCCTGATTGGAGGAGAGCAGCGTACTCGGCGTGTGGGCAGCCGAGTTAGGATTGGCGGAGGAGGACTATAAAGGAGGAGAGAGACAACATGCACCGGGAATATCTAAGGGGAACACCTGAGGAACATCTGAGCAGCCCCCGAGAGAGCCGGCCAGCGGTGTGCCACTCCCCCGTGGAAGTGGGTAATGTGGCAGGGGGAACCGCCCTTCCACGGAGGTGGAAGGGTCGGTAGCCAACCCGGGAAGAACCAGCAGCAAACCCGGGGAGGGCCGAGCAGACGAAAGAACAGCGCAGGGTCCTGTGTCGTTCCTCCACGAAGACGGGGAGCGACACCAGCCTCCTCTTAGAAGGAAAACAGAGGCCGGCGCCGCGGCTCACTAGGCTAATCCTCTGCCTTGCGGCACCGGCATGCCAGGTTCTAGTCCCTGTCGGGGCGCCGGATTCTGTCCCAGTTGCCCCTCTTGCAGGCCAGCTCTCTGCTGTGGCCTGGGAGTGCAGTGGAGGATGGCCCAAGTGCTTGGGCCCTGCACCCCATGGGAGACCAGGAGAAGCACCTGGCTCCTGGCTTTGGATCAGTGCAGTGCGCCGGCCGCAGCGCGCCGGCCGCGGCGGCCATTGGAGGGTGAACCACCGGCAAAGGAAGACCTTTCTCTCTGTCTCTCTCTCTCTCTCTCTCACTGTCCACTCTGCCTGTCATAAATAAATAAATAAATAAAACACTTAAAAAAAAAAAGAAGGAAAACGGGACCAGGGCCCACCCTGAGGACCTTAGTTAGCCTTTTCACCTCCTTACAGGTGCAACTCCCGACCTAGTCCCGGTGCGGCTCTGGGCTCCAGCACAGGAATTTTGTGCAGCCATAGCTGGGCTGTGACCACCTCTTCACTGGGTTCATCAGCTCTGCACATCGCTCAGTAGCATCTGGGCTTCCACCCTGCAAGTCCGGTTTCTTCTTGCAGAGCCGATGCAGTAAATGACTCTGTTACCAGATGAGAGTTTGCTGTTTCCTCTCCATTTCGTAGTTGTTGAACTTACTAATGATACTTATGATTTTAAAAATCCTAAAACGTTTAAGAGTAGCTTGGTCCAACTTTGCTTTGTTGCAAATGATTTATCGTGGTTTTAGTTTGGAGATTTCCTCTTTTAATCTGTTTCCACGTATTTAGCTCAGAGGCGATATCTTGTCATTTTTCTGCTTGACTAAAGTGAGATGCAAAATCATCCCGGAAAGCTCATGAGAAACCTGTGTTGAGAAAATTATGAAGCACATGGGAACAGGGCAAGAGGAAGCTGTGTGCCTTGTGGGGGTGTGATAGAGATTATGGCTCTAATGAGTCACTGTTTGTCATATTTTATAGTGTGGTCAGCTCAAAATTGAACATACAGAGACCTCATTGTTCTAATGATTTCTCTTTAATAGAAAAAAGAAAACTTCAAGTGTTTCAGTTTTATTGCCTTGTAAGACATTGGATAAATTTGTGTCTGATTTGTCAGTTTCATTCTGTTTTATTTTTTCATACTCTATAAAAATCCTAGTTTTTAAAATCCAATTTATAGACATTTATATATTTATGTATTTTAAAATAATAACTTTACTGAACACTAGTTTGCATACCATGCAATCTCCTAATAAAGTGTATACATCAATGTTTCATAGTTGTGCCACCATTACTATAATTTCAGAAATTTGATCTCCCCCAAATTCTGTATCCAGAGCAGGTGCTATGGCTATGACACTGGCAGTGACACTGGCACCCTGTATCGCAGTACAAGTTTGTCTGTTTTTTTTTTTTTTTTTAAGATTTCTTTATGTATTAAAAAGGCAGAGTTACAGAGAGAGAGAGAGAGCAAGAGAGAGCAAGAGAATGAGAGAGAGATCGTCAGTCTGTCTGCTGGTTTACTCCCCAAATAGCCGAGTGGATGAGTTTGGGTTGGGCCAAAGCCTGGAACCTGGAACTGCATCCTGATCTCCCAAGTGGGTGGCAGGGGCCCAAGCATTTGGGTCACCTTCCACTGCTTTCCCGGAACATTAGCCAGAAGCTGAGTCACGGTGGAGCAGCCGGCACTTGAACCGGTACCCATGTGGGATGCCAGCATAGCAGAATCCTGTGGGAGGCCTGGTTGGGGGTCCGGGCTCCTGGTTCCTGGCTCCGTCCTGGCCCAGCCTTGGC